GGCTGCGGCGAAAGCGGGGAGCAGCTCCCCGGCAGGTAGACTCGAGTGCTGATGGTTTCCAAAAGAAAAAAAACAACCAACCCCCAAGCCCTGGGTTTCTGTTAGTTTCAGGCGTGTTTTGAGGCCGTTGGTTTTGATGTGCGGTGCGTTTGCACAGTCCCGCTACATCTGTGCGCGGTTGCCGGTTTTCCTGTTCCTACGGCACCAAATACCTTCCTTGGAAGTAGTTTTTTATTTTGGGTTTGTGCCTCCTTCCTCCTGGTGTGCCGTGTTCTACAAACCCGGGCGGGAAGCGCGGTATGAAAATGAATGCTATCGGGGCGCTGAACGGCAGCACATTTCTTACAGCGCTTGTTGCAGGAAGCAGGATGGAGCTTGGCACAAATCATCTTGACCCAGTAAAACACGGCAGAAACTATTTATTGCTTAATCGTGATCAAACAAGGGCTCTTTTTTTAACTGTTCGTATGACAACAAGAGTAAGGCTTTGGGGAAAAGAGGTGTCTGCAGAAATATCTGTGTCCAACCTAGTGAGGAGCTGCCTCTGATGGTCCCGGACCTGTGCTGGTCGCAACCAAGACGGTGCTTGGCTGCTGCCTCTGGAGCCACAGCTTGGTAGGAGTGAGATATCCACGGAAAACTGCTGAGCTGAGTCAAGGTTCCAGTTTGTTTCCAGCAGCAGCTCTTAAGTTTGGGGAGTTTTCATCAGGAACTCAAGCCTAACTACTTGCATTTTTATTTTTATTTTTTCTTCTTTCTAAATTTGGCCACTGCATGCTTGTTTGTCCTGGACCATTTCTCTGTATTTGGATTATCAAAAAACGGATTGCTAAATAAACACGCTCGCCTTTCATATACATTGTGACAGTGGAGTGCTGTAAAAGCTGAGACGTTGGCATAAAACTCTTGTTTTATAACATAGAATCCTTAATTCACATATTGTAAATTAATCCTTAAATGAGAAACACCCACTTTTTTTTTAAACAATATTACAGATTATTACAGATTTCCTTCCCCCCCCCTTAGTCTAATACATTAATATTTTTAATACTTTGCTTCACTATATTTTTGATACATACAATTTTATCTGCATGAGCCCTTCTGGTCCTTTTAGATACTTCTTAACCGTACTTTGAAAATGTTAGTGGAAAAATAATAACTTACTTTGGACTTAAATAAGAAATATTCCACATTAAAGTCCACATGACTTTATATTGACAGGTATCAAGAGTTGACGTAACAGAGTCCTCAAAGTGCTGACTGAGAAATGAGCTCCTTCCACTTGATGCTGAAAGGAGGTACTGTTATAAATTGATTTGAATACTGATAAGATTGCTCCTTTCCAGGTGGTTTGGGTGCTCTTGTTGCCTCCAGTTTGATGTGAGGTGGAAGTGTGGGTAGAGAGGGAGCTCCTGACAGTACTAGAATCAACTGGTGGTGGCCAGTTATGTAGAGCTACAAATATCTTTTTTTTTTTTTTTTTTTTTTTTAGTTCAGATTTAGAGCAGTTAGTGCTTTGTCCCAATGCAGAACTGGAATTTAGCTTATAGAGATTTAACTACTGCAGACCTCTTTGTGAAAATTCTTCTTTGATTTCTGTGACTTCATTTTGATGTAGCTTCAACAGAATGTAATGGATAATGGACTTTCCTTAAAGGTATGAATCTTCTGTAGCCCTGCAACTTGCAAGAATGTATGGAAAGGAGGCATTTAAGGACTTGAGTTTGTGGTCATGACTTTTAGTGTCAGAATACCACAGTGGATGACCAGATCCACTTTTAGAAGGTGCTTGTGCATCATTTTGTGTGACTCAGTGTTCATGCATGTCCCTGTAAAATGATCAGCTGCCTTTTGTTTATATATTCAGCATGTTAGACAGGAAAGTTGGGACCTCACAGAAGTGGTAAACTGGAAACAAGGTACAGTCTGTTAGAATTTTATCTTGCTTTGCTGTCATGGTTTAACCCCAGCAGGCAGTTTAACAGCTTACTCCTGTTGACAGGAGTCACACAACAAGGAACAAGGTGTGAGCTGTATGAATTGTTGTGGTGGATTGGATCTTGTCTTGGTGGTTATACTTTGAAGCAAGTGGCCATACTTGGGTTTGGTTCTCTGCACCCCCCTTCCCATCCATTTCAATTAAACGGAATTAAAGTTTTACTTAAAAAGTTAATGTAATTCTTTCATAGAAGTATGCCACTAAATTGGGGCCCTTTACACCTCTATTATTATGTTGTTTTCAGAGATGATAATGAGTTGTCTCCGAACCACAATTTCTCTGTTCTTCTGTATGGCTCAAAGGCTAAAGATCTGCTGGTTGCCCTTGCTGTAATGATTGGCCATAGACAGTGATCAATACTGAAAGCTGCTTAAATTAACAGTGACTTGCTGATAGCAGTTGAGGGGTTTAATGCTTTCTGTGCTACTCTCTAGAGCATTTTTTCATTGTGTTGGCCTTTGCCAGGATCTGTCAAGTCCATGTATTTATGAACTTTTTACAAGCAAAATCTCTTAAAAATTGGAGACAGAAAATTTGGAAAACAAAGGTACAGTTATATATTTTGCACAGCTTCCTGAAGGACAAGTTTGCTAATTCTACTGCAAGCAGACTTAGTAACCCTGTGTCTCTAAACCTGTTCTTATGGCATTTAAAGTTGGCAATGCACCTAAGGCAAGTAAAAAGGTAAGTTCTGTAAAGATAGACATTCTGCAAAGAACAAAATGTCAGTAACTTAAATTAGACCCACATGTTTTCTGTTTCTGTTTTCAAGATGGTAATTTTAGAAATTTGAAGAAGCAGTAGCAAGTTGTATTTTAACTATAGGAAGATAAATATTAGGAAAATAACTTGGAAATCTAACCTTTTCTTTTTAGTAGCTTGAACACAAATGTGATTGGTTGGTGGTGTGGGTTTTGTTTGTTTGTTGTTGTTTTTTTTTTCCTTTATTTTCTAAAAGATTTCTTTTTGCCTTTGAGACTAGCAAGCTTTGAGCTGAAACAGTTTTCCAAACTAAGTATGTAGGCAGTGTCATCAGTGAAATGGCTATTCTCTCTATGTAAGTGTGATTTTTGAGCTTTTGTGGTTATATCACAGGGGCGTTTCAATTGCTGAGATTCGGAGAGAAGGCTAAAAGTTGTTAGGTATGAGAACAAACATCTGCTTTTTAAACAAAGTTTCCTGTTTCACGTTTGTGGATTTTGAGTGGTGTTGCTCTGTATATTCTGCTTAAGAAAAAGTGTAAAAACTATGTGTGGTCATTTGAAACTGTACTGACTAGAACAGAAATGCTCCATATACTGTGAGGTATTGCAGCTACAAAAGCTAGAGGCTTCTAACCTTCTTTAAAGAGTTTTTAAGCTTTACCACTGCAATATTTGATGAGCGTGTGTTGTGAATTTTGAATGAACAGAATTTTAAAATAGTTGAGCTTTAGCATACAATATTAGAAAAACATCCACCTTGGTACTGGAGACCAGTAATAGATGTAAAATGTGAAGCTTAACCTCTTGGATTGCTTAGTTATTCTTATCTTGCCCCAAATCTAAGTATTCTTTGTTTCCTTTTAGTGGTTAAATCAGTTTAACAAAGTGGCTACTTATGTTTGGTTTTATTGCTTGCTTGACACCTTTGTAGTGTTATCTGGTTTTTGACAGGAGCTTCATTTTCCAAAGGTCTCTGCTAGAATTCTTAGTCAGTCTTTACTGAAAGTTTTGTTGCTCTTTTAAGTCATCTCTAGTGTAGGCAGAGGAATGCTCTTGTTTTTACATTTAGGATGTCTATAGAAAATTTTGGTTTGTATGTGTATGCTGCTGTCAAAATGATGTATTTTGTAAAATCCTTTTTTCCCCTTATCCACTCTTTACAGGTAAACTTGAACTGCAAGAGTGATGATCAGCTCATTGGGAACATACAGGAAAACCACATTCAAGGCAACTAAATAAGGACTATGGTGTGAGTGCTTTGTCAGGTGAACTGTTCAAAAGTAGTACGTATTTGGAGGCTGTTATATTAAAGTGTTGCACTCCGCTCTGTGTGTCCCTCCCCACTACCTCGACACTTCTGTGTATGAAATGTTTCAAAAGAAGGAGCTGGTGTGGCTTGTCACTGAAGTGAACTACATTGGATAAAAAAGTAAGTCAAGGCTATGTGTGTTTTCAGGGAATACCGTCTCTTCCAGCCGTTTCTAGCTGGGTAGAAGGCAAATATTAACTAGGACCTGTGCAATGAATGTTTTGCATTGGAGTGCTGTGTAGGAAACGAGGTTGCTTTAGAGTGAGAGGAGCAGCATGTAAAATAGTCAGGAACTGAGGAAAAGCAAGAGAGCTAAA